AATATTACCAAAGTAGTTAATTATATACATATATAAATCTTTACTTCTGATGCAATGCAGAACTTACCAAACATATGGGATGTGTTTTCAGTTTTGTCCATGGAATCTACAAAAGAAAAAATGTTTTTCCTTTAAAATGAATCAAAAAAAAATGTAAAACAGTAATCAACACAGATGTTCTCTTAATACAGTGATAGACATACCAAATTATATCAGATGACTTTTTTCTTAAGTTGCAAAATAATAAACTAAGCAATTTATTCATACTCTTGAAATCAGATGTAATTATTTTACACAAGAAAATACTACTACCTTTACTTTCTTAGTCATCTTTTTAAGAGTCTCATGCTCTACCAACTGAGCTAGCTAGGCACCTCTTGGTCATCTTTTTAAATAAAATTTCAGGTTCTCTTAATATCTTTTTTCCCCCAGTTCTTAAAACACACTTTACTTTTATAATTTAAGAATTCCCAGCAAAGCATAATCAATGTTTTGTTCACTGAACAGTTTTTTAAATTCTAGAATTCCAACCAATCTCTTCATAGATATTTAAAACAAATACAAAAGTGAGACCATTAATGTTAAATGCCAAGCAATATCAGTAAGTAATGTTCAAACATACCCTGCACTAAAAATGTCATGCTTCTGTAAACATTTGGGTTTATAAAGGATAGAATAAAATTTAGGTGACCATCAAAAGATATGGGAACCTTTCCACAATCTTTTCTTTAGAGCTCAATTTTAATTTTATGAAACAAATTAGCATGCAGTATTTCTACTGAGTACTCTCAAACTAAGCCTAATCTTTAAGAGAAAGAAGTGATATGACATATGATTGGAATTAAAGATAAGAAAGCCTAAGTTTTAATAAGTAGAAATAATAATAAAAGAAAAATTTTAAATTCTCAAAATAAGAAACAAATGAGGAAAAGAACAAATTTCAAATAAAGTATAATGGTCAGAATAAGATAACTTATCAGTCGTATCTCTTCATTTGAAATTTAAATTGTCCCATTTGACAACAAACCCTTAAAAAATCTTTAAATATATGCCAAATATAACCAATTATTTTATTAATAAATTATCAGTAATTTTATTTAGATGTTAACATTAAATTTTAAATAAAACTTAAAGTCTTATAAATTAATTAACATATTAGAATATGACTTCAATTAAATTCATAAGGCATACATTTATGCAATTATTTAGACAAAGGTATTTTTATTATAAATTATGTTAATAATAATGCTTCTTTTCAGAATTATCTAAGATTAAACATTTATTTTAAAAGATAGGTTTGAATAAATAAAACAAAGCAGAAATGTCTTCCATATCAAAGTCTCACCCTAATAGATGCTTTATTACAAAAAACCTTGTTGATAGCAAGCCATGTTGGCAAATCCAACATATTCTGGAGCACCTCTTCATCCAACTCTAAATTCTTTAGTTCACCTTCTCCTTTAAGGGTACTTAGATTTATCTTGTCAGGAGACAAATTTTTGGTAAATCTGAAAGAGAATAAACATTGACATTTATTTTAGTGTTAGTTACTGTACCCCTGAGTTATTCTTACAAATATACAGAGCACTAAAAGTATAAAAGCATCACTAAGAAACACAAAACCACATGATAAGCTCTACTTTAATCCATGTTTTTCAATGTGGTTTTGTTATTATTGCTTTGCTCTGTTACAGAAAGTCTACAATATTTTTGGCATGCTTTTAAATACCATATTACCATATACACTAAAGCTCTAGCTGTTAGCGCCTTTCAAATTTATAAATACTGTTAGAGTATCTACTATTTTTCAAGTACTATGCAATGCTTTGAGCCATCCCCTACCACATTTTGTTCACTTTACCACAGATTGTATCACAGAAGTCGATATTCTTATTTTATTAATCAATCTACAAGGAAGGTAAAAGAATGAGGGGACCCTTCAGAAGTGGTAGCAGCAAAAGGTGCCACCAGTCATTCATCATGTCAAGATTGATGATTAAAGGACATCAGTACTCCATTTAGGATCATCCAGTGATTCTCAGCTTTAGAAACTGACCCAGATCATTCCAGGAATAAATTGTAGTACATAAATCTTGTTCTAAAAGATCTCCGAGGAAGGAAATTATACAGTTCTATTTAGCAGCCAATTTTGAAGTTTTCTACATGAAACTCTTAAAAATATCAGTTATTCACAACCCTGAATTAGCTGTACAAATATAATTTTATTTTATACAGGAGTTAAGAAAATTGAAGTATAAAGTGGCTTAATGAAAGTGCCAAAAGTCAAACAGGGGACTGGACCCTGAATTCTAATTAAAGAACTCAGATTCACTAAAATGACTTAAAAAGGAAAGTCCTTAAATTTAAAAGATTGGAAATAATAAGTTAAAATAGTAGTGAACATTTACCAAAGGTTTACTGTGTACCAGGCTCTTCTCTTTGCATGCATGCTTTACAAATTCTCATGATAACCCATTAGGGTCACCACTATTTTTATCCCTACTTTTAAATGAGTAAATACAATGAGAAACTAACTTATTTGCCCAGTGTCACGACAAATAATGATGATAACAGGAATAATGACAATAATAATAATAAATTACACATGCATTTTAAAGTACTTTCATATATATTACTTTAATTCTTAAAACAATCTTAAAAAATTAAAAATTGCTAACTTTACCCAGCAAGTACTTTTTCACAAGTAAAACTATTGACAAAGTTAATATTGGCTAACAAGAGTCATCAGCCAGTCTTCTGACATTAAATATTAAGTTACCAAAATACACTGGGTTATTTACATGCCCTACATATCAATAAGAATCAATATACACATGCTTCTCCACTGACTCTAAAACCAGAATTTGTTGAACCAGATTTTATCTGAATTCATGGCTTCTCACAAAATGTCAACACACAACTTTGTCAATACAAAGTTCACATTTAACCCATATTTGGTCAATGATGCTGGGTTGTTTCATACTTACCACCAATGTTTGATTTAATGATATGAATCTTCCTGATAGGCTATTTCTAATCATATAGGAATAACCTGACACTGCCTCAGGGGAGAATATTAAAGCTAGAAGTTGGCATTCAATAAGTACTTATTGAGGATTCACTATTCAGACACATACACTGACTAGTATAGTCAAGGCTCCTGCCTTTGTGCAGTGTTCAGTTAGTGGGTGAGACAGAGTTCAAACAGCATGACAAGGAGAGAATACAGTAGGGGTTCTTAATCCAGAGCTTCTTTGAAACAGAGACTTCTGAGCTGATATCTAAAGGAACAGCAGTAGAAGAAGGGAGCAGGAAAGAAAGAGTATTCCAAGTAGAGAGAATAAAACAGAAAGCTTCTGAGGCAGGAGAGAGCACAGTATAAAATAGAACTGAAAAAAGATCAGCATCTGGAATGTAGCATGAGAGCCAGAAGAGTAGTAGATAACTCTGAAAGGACAAAGAAGGGACTGATTACATAAGGCCCTGAGCATTTTATCCATTCATTCAATACATTTTAACCAATACCTATAATTTAACAGGCACTGAGGATTTGACAATGAACAAAATAGATTAAAAAAACTCTTCCTTCATGGACCTTAATTGGGGGGGTATAGGTACACAGAATTAAAAAAATAAGTTAAATATATAGTAAGTCAGATTCTGTTAACTATGGAGAAAAAACAAAGCAAAATGTAAGTCAGGAGATGCAAGCAGGGGACCTTTTAATTTTTAAGAGTGGACAGGAAAAGCCTCATTAAAAAGATGACATTTGGGCAAGGTCTGAAGAAAGTGAAGGAGCTAGCTATGCAAATATCTGGAGAAAGAATGCTCTAGGCAGGGGAAAAGCTAAGCGCAAAAACATGAGGTAGGAACATTCTTGGCAGGTCTGAGGAATAGCAAGAAGGCCAATGGAGCTGGAGGAAATGAACAAGGACAGGAATGATAGGAGACAAAGTTAGAGAAATAACAGAGACCAGATCATGTGGGACCATTTAAGCCACTCTAAAGACTGGCTTTTCTCTGAGTAACAATGAGAGTGGCTGGAGATGATTGTGACTAGGGGACTAGAACAGGGATTTTTCAAGGATCATTCTATTGAGAATATATGAAAAGGAGACATGGACAGAAGAAAGGAGCCAGTCAGGAGGTTATTACAATAATACAGGTAAGAAAAGATGTTGCCTTGGATCAAGATGGAAGATTAGGAAGTGGTGAGAAGGGAACAATTCTAGACATATTCTGAGGGTAAAGCCAACAGGATTTGATAATACAGACTGAGGACAAGGACGGCTCCAAGGTTTTTGGTCTGAGTAAATTCATGGGGGCAAAGAGACACAGAAAGAAAGAAATTTGGGATTAAGGGTCAGAATTTAGACTTTGAATAGTTTAATTAAGAGATGCCTATTAGATATCCAAGAGGAGATACCAATTAGGTAGTTGGATATTCAAATGTCATTCAGTAGTTGCAAATACAAATTTGGTAATCACCAATGTTGTAGATGGTATTTATGATTGCGAGATGGAGACAGAAAATAAAATGGCTCAAGGACTGTGTTGAGGGACCACTAAGAGGCCAAGGAAATATAAAAAAAATCAGTAAAGGTGATTAAGGATTAAGGATTAAAGAAAAAGGGCCAGTGGCGTAAGAGAGAAATCAGGTTGGTTTTTAGGTGAGAAAAAATTCAGCAGGCTTGCATGTTGACAGCAATGATACAGAAAAAAAACTACTGATGGACAAACAACTGATGGAGCAAAATGCCCAATTAGAAGACAGCAAATAGAGTACACAGGAAGAGCGGTGGCTTTTAATAGTTTTGATTTTGGAAAGCACGTTAATACTCTACATACATAAAAAATAAAATAAGAAACAATGAGATGAGGGGAAACACCTAAAACTTAAAGCAACCTGAAACAAATGAACTTAAGTGTATTCAAAAATATTGTAACCATACTCAACGGGAAGACAGAAAGAAAGGAAAGACAGATTGAGGGACAGATGGACAAAAACTAATCTGAGTAACTCATGAACATAACATTTGACTATACGTCCTCAGTGTTGGGCAGGGAGGTGGGTGATTAGTGGAGAAATCAGGCCACATCTTGACTGGCTATGTACAAGAATGTTCATCTCAACGATATTTACAAAAGGAAAAAAATCAAAGTACCTAAACTTCCAAAGGAGAATAATCCTTCTAATTATGATACTTTATGTTACTTACATATCAGGTAATATGTGTTGCCAATTATATAAAGAAATGATACTATAATGCCTGGTAAAAATTAAACGTTCAAAATTACACACTGTGATTATCTAAAATTATCTAAAAAACGCATTACAAAATTATCTAAAATTATCTTAAAAAAACGCATTACAAAAATCTCAAATATCAATAGTACCTATGGTTGGTGAGGTTTTAGATTTATTTCTTCATCTTTATACTTTTCTGGATGTTTAAGTATTCTATAAGGAGCATATATATAACTTTATAAAGACAAAAGTTCTACAGAACCTTAAAAAGACAGGCCTGGTAAAAGTGGAAGATGGAAAAATTAAAACATGTTATTCACAAGAAGTTCTATCTTCAATTTAGTTCACACCAAAGGGACAATATCTTCAATGAGCATGGACCTCAAAGTGAGACAAAAAGGTTTGAATTCTACTTTAAGCCACTTACTGTGATAGCTCTCTACTTCAATTTGTTCATCTGTAAAATGCGGAAAATAATACCAACCTCAAAAGATTTTATGAGGATTAAAGATAATATGTAAAGTATCTGGTATAAAACAGATATATAGTACACCTGAAACTAACAAAACACTAAATAAACTATGCTTCAATAAAAAAATTAATTTTTTAGATAAACAACAAGTTTATACTATATAACTTAGGGAACTATATTCAGCATCTTGTTGTAAACGATAATGAAAAAGAATATGAAAACAAATCTATGTATGTATATGTATGACTGAACTATTACGCTGTATACCAGAAACTGACATAACATTGTAAACTGACTATACTTCAATTTTTAAAACTTTAAAAATATTGATTTGTTGAATCAATCAAAAAGATATCCAATTAAGAATTCTTTTTCCTGTCCTCCTTTTATTGAGATTAAATTATGAAGGCATTGATTATAGTTTTAACTGGAGCAATATCAAAAGTTCAGCTTTATCCAAAAAGGACTTTAAAATGGCAGCGCTTTAGAGCTAAACTTTAGAACATCTTACATTAATGTTGCTCATCTATTATTTTAAATAGAAAGCTGAAAATATATTGATAACTGTCACCTCTACATCTATCAGAAAGTTGGTTTCTTATACTGGGTAGGTAGTGGGCATATCAAATTATTTATCTTTTATTAGTCATATGTAAGACTTTAATTTACATATATTTCAGCTCTACACAAATGTTTACCAATCATTTAATAATATAGTTAATGTTCCTCCAAAAACAGAGACAGGAGAATGATTCTTCAGCCACATTTGTTATAATTTAATTGATAGA